CTGAATTATATGGGATATACATCTGGACTGGGTTGAGAGGGGAGGCAGATGCAACCCTCACCCCTCTAGACCCTGAGGCAAGGGGGAGAGTTGGCCTCCTCCCCAATGGGCATTCCTTTCTTTTCTGTCTTACAAAATGAATTACACACCCAAAGCTACAAAATGAATTACACACCCCTGGTCCATCTAGGTCAGTATTGTTTACTTGGACTGGGAGCTCTCCAGGGTCTCAGGCGGAGATCTTTCCCATCACCTACGGCTTGGTCCTTTTAACTGGAGATGCCGGGGATTGAACCTGGGACCTTCTGCATGCAAAGCAGAGGCTCTTCCACTGAGCCACGCCCCTTCAGGAATGACAGCCATTCCTTCATAGGCAAGAAAATAAAATGAGAAGAAGAAGAAGAGTTGGATTTATACCCCACCCTTCACTCGGAGTCTCAGAGTGGCTTACAATCTCCTTTTCCCTTCCTCTCCCTACAACAGACACCCTGTAAGGTAGGTGGGGCTGAGAGAGCTCTCTCAAGAACTGCCCTTGAGAGAAAAGCTCTGAGAGAACTTCTGACTGACCAAAGGAGGATTGAGGAATCAAACAGGGTTCTCCAAGATTAGAGTCCATGCTCCTAACCACTACACCAAACTGGCTCTGGAGAGGACATACGATCAAAATGACCTTCCGCTCCCAGCTTCCATGGCACAAAGGAGGGCATTTCACTAAGCTCCGGAGATCCTGACCAGGCAGCCCAGCAGCCAGACCCAGCCTGCAAAGGACTTAGCCTCCAGGCTGCCAATTCCTTCCTGGGAACTTGCTCTCGCGCCTTTAAGAGGGCCCGGCGGGGAGAAAGTGAGGCAGGCTGAAGTGCAGCTTTGTGATGGGGGGAAAAAACCTGCCCTTCTAATGAGGCATATCCTGCGAACTGCACAAACAGACAGAAGAACCCATAAGGGGGGGGGGGGGGGGGGGGGGAGACAAGGAGGCCATTCACGCCAAACTGCCCCCGGCCGAGCACGAAGGCCCGGAGCCAGCAGGAAGAGGCCTGCACTCCGTTGCTCCGGGCAACGCCTGGGACGGGCCCTCCCGTTCAGCCTCTTGCCAGGGCACGTGTAGAGAGTTTGCCCCGGGCGGGGAGGGGGGGACCCCCTAGCAACCACATCCCTAGCAACAGGCTTGTTTGCTCCCCTCCCCAGCCCCGTTAAGCGAGAGGCAGCGCTGGATTCCGGCCTCCTAAACTTCTCCAGCACAATGGCTTGGCAGGTGAAAGGCGCTCGGTGGGTTCCCCTGCGGCCGCACGCCACCCCTCGGCTGCTCGGCTGTGCCCTTTGCTGGCAGGACTCAGCGGGACAAAGGGAGGGGGGGAGAGGTCATGGGAATTACAGGGTGTAATTGAACAGGGGGATGCTTAGTCTCCACCCACCCACCCACCCACCCACCAGCACTTGGCCAGTCTCACTCAGCTGCCCTCCCCCCTTCAAATAAAGCCTTTGGGTTTTAGTACCCTTTCCTCCCACAGCCCTGATGACCCTACTCCGCTTGGGGGGGGGGTTCCCCCTCCCAGGTCCCTTCCCCCAAACTCCGCCCCTCCTCCACCTCTCCCTTACCACTTTGTTCAAAACATTTTTATGCCACCTCTCTAAAGGAAGTCACCCGAGGTGGTTTACAGGGTAAAACGATAATATCTACGCTAGTTACTCGGCAGACGATTTTTTAAAAAACGGAACAGGACGATCCCATAGAAAAGTCCGCTAAGATATCCGCCGGGACGAGCCTCAGCATAAAATATCACAGGTGCAAAATATGTTACAAGAGAAGCAGCAGCAACCCAGATTGACCCCAAATCTGAGAGGCATGAGGCAATGCTCCCTCTGAGCTGTGGCGTCTTGTGAGCAAAAATTCTCGTTTGTGAGCGACTGGCATGAAAGTGGTGAGCGAGCGATTTGGCTGCTGCATAAATGAGTTTGCTCTGGAGCCATCCCTTCCTGAGTGAAGACAAAAATGTGTGAGCCGGAGGCTAAAAAACTGTGAGCTAGCTCACACTGACTCAGCTTAGAGGGAACACTGGCACGAGGCCTTGCTGTTGACAAAGGCCGGGGAAGACCTCTGCAAGGGATCTGCCATGCTCCTTCTGGCTAACAGTTTGGAGGCGGCCAAGAAAGCCCAGCTCTCTGATGCTTTGGTTCGGTTTAATGACACAAGCCGCGCTGGCCTGCCTCCCCCAAAGTCACATCTAAGGAGCACCTGGGAGGGAGAGGGTCAATGCGGAGGCATCTGCTAGGCTCACCTGCAATAAGGCCATTTACGAGGAGAGGTGCGCAGGCGTGCCCTGTGAAATGCGCTTTTACAGCATGTGCCGGGCCATAAAAAGGTGGTAAAAATTCATAGTATGGAAAACAAGCCTAGCTATCCCTCTTTTGTGAGAAAGGGAGAGACGCAGGCTCATTCTGCATGCCGTGCACACAGATTTCGTACGCGGAATGCTGCGCTTGGAGCCTGCTCTTTCACTGTAAGATGAAACGGGTGTGATATGAAATGGTTAAGACGCAGGCTCGGTGCGGGTACGGCATGAACCCGAGCTAGTGCTGAATGTGGCCTTAACCAAGCTGTGCAAACTACCTTCATGCCCTGTTTTATCAAATGATTCAGCCACTGGCTCAGTGCAAGACGTAGTGCTAACCATGGTTAGCAAGGCCCCTCCCTGCCTGAACCAGGTTTAGCAAACTCGCTTCACAGCTTAGTTAAGACAAGATTCCTGGTTAACACTAACCACAGCTAACACGCTAAACCATAGATTCAGGTGGGTAGCCGTGTTGGCCAGCTGCAGTAGAACGAAGTTTGAGTCCAGTCTTAAAGGTGCCACTGGACTCAAACTTTTGAACACAACCATAGGTAAGGCTGCAGAAGGGAGTGATGGAAAGGGGATTTTGTGAGAAAAGTCAAGGGAGCCTCTTGTTTCTGAGGTCAGCTACCCGTGTGCAAACCACGGTTTGCAGTATGAAAGGACCAATCTCGGTTCTCTTTGTTTGACAGAATTTTAGAACCCCTCGTGCTGGTGGATACGATAAAACCAAGAAAAACAAGATGGTGCAGAAAGAAGACTGTGTCCTTCATCTGAGAACAGAAGTGCACAAATTAATTCATCCAATGAAGACAACTGAAAATATCATCAT